GGGACGGGCGCCCTTCCTGCCTCCAGCTTGTTAAACCGCCCTGGGTGCCCCCTCTGCCGCTCCGGGGGTGGGGTTGTCGCTTTCCCCCAGTTTCTTGCTGAGCCCTGTTCGCTGTTCTGCCCCTTGCAGGTTCTCACCATGGCTGAGGATTTGAGAGCAGTGGTTGCCAGCCAGACAAAGAGACTGAGCAGCAGCGGTGAGGTGGTGGAAAGGCTAGTGGAAAATGGACATCAAAATAAAAAGTTAAAGAGAGATGCGGATGAGGAAGATGCGGAGGATCAGAGTAAAAGGTTACCCAAAAGGAAGATTGTGTTGCTGATGGCATATTCAGGGAAAGGCTACCATGGGATGCAAGTATGTGGCAACACGGCCTGCTTTTTTTCTGAAGTCTGTTGGGTTTATCACTGTGGTCACAGAGATGTTGTAGGGAAGCAGTTTCAGCCTGAAAAGCTGGGGCAGTAACAGTGCAGGCCTGGGTCCAAATGGCTCTGTAGTAGCTTGACTGAAAAAAGCCAGTGTTACATTTCTGATGTTAAGTGATTCTACTGAGTCTGCCTTTAGCACAGAGCATCAGCAGAAGATCTTTGAAACACTGTGCTGCAGACAAGGCTCTTGAGAAGACTGAAAGCATAGGCACTGCAGTTCTGTCAAAGCTTGAAATGCTGTCTTCTGGTCACCTTCTGACCAGTGCTCCAGCTTCTGGCTAAAGCTTTACATTTCAAAGCAGTTTGGCTAAGTTTTCTTTAGTTTAGACCTCAGGTTGTCTCACTATGTTATGCAAAACACGCAGATTCTGTAGAACTGAGCTGCATATTTGAATTAAACCAATTTGCATCTATGTTGCTGTCTCTTGTAAAAAGATTATCTGAACTTGAAGATGTTGCAAATTGACCTTTTTCTGATGTACTCTAATGGCCGTGGCTTACAGCAGTTTAGAAACAGGAAAACTGTTGCAAGGCTTCTGTGTTTGCATGTGCAAGGAAAGGGATGTTGCTTTATTACAGCACCAGCATACGAGCAGTGCCCCAGCGCCAGGCCTCCCAGTAGCATTGGCAGCTAGAGGATCATTTTGCTCCATCTGCTGCTCCTCTCAGCGTACTGCAAGCTCCATACGTGCTCTTGAGGTGTACTTTTAAAGCTCCATGGCATAATTGATAAGATTGAACACGGTCAGGAAAGGGAGTCTTGCATGCTTATGCAACACAGCACATTTGTTCAGCAGCAGTAAACCGTAAGCTTGCGGGCACATCGATGTAAGTGCCTGTCGGCTTTTCTGCTCTCATAATTGAATGGTATCTGTCAAGGCGTGTGCTTTGAAGCTTTACACACAAGCAGAGGCGTGCATTTCTGCTGTCATTCACCTGTGAGTTGAGTGCAAAAGTCACTGGAAAAAAACTTAGTCTGTGTTACACAACAGCTGAGGTAAACTGAGAAAAAGAGCCCAATCTGGTTTCCAGAAGTTTCCAGTTTGCAGAGACCAGGCACTCGAACAGTGCTCCATTGGTGCTGTTTCATGCAGTTGAAGGAATCGTCAAAAAACTCCATTGCAGAAGTACTGCACAGTGAAACCAGAAATGATCATTACTTACTTGCAATAGCAGGAAAAGGTAAATGAGAATGTAGATGTTTTATTAACACTCTGGTAAAGTATAGTTAATTTTGTTAGAGAATGGCAGTGCTTTTAGAGCTGTAAAGGGAAGACTTAACAAATTTCACAGAAATGTTTGATTAACAACATTTTTCAGTTATCATCTTCAGCTATTCAGTTATTACTGTTTCTTGTAATTCTTATTTTTACTGTGTATTCTCTTTTAGAGAAACGTGGGTTCTTCACAGTTCAAGACCATTGAAGATGACTTGGTATCTGCCCTTGTTCAGTCAGGCTGCATCCCAGAAAACCATGGGAAAGATATGAAGAAAATGTCTTTTCAGCGATGTGCTCGAACGGATAAGGTATGTTGGTTAGAGCCCATGCTCTCATAAACTCTGGTGTACCTCCACCAGTGCTACTGGGATTGACTGGTAAAGCATTGTCTAGATGTGATCCAATAGCAAGTACTGTTCACAGTGAATGTTGCTTGAAGAGTCTCATCTGCTACTAAATGTCCTTACAAGCAACTATTTAGAAAGCAGAGAACATTGATTGGATGGTGTTTGCAAAGCTAGTACTTCATGCCTGAACTTTGTCTGTGTTTCTGTCATTTATCTGCTTCAGCAAGAACCTCCTGCTGCTGCTGCTCCTCGTTGCTGCCTGGCTGATGTGGTGCTTGAGAGTTGAGCTGCATCTCAGTTGTGTTTAAGCCTGCCACAGTGGGGTTCCAAGTCTGAACTGGAGTTCATGGCTGATCTTACGTCTAAGTAATTCCATTTCAGTTGGTGCTTTACTTAATAGCAGTCAAATACAGTGAGGTGTCATGGAAGGGAGTGCAATGTTCTGCTCTCTGAGGCTGCTAAGCCTCATACAGCGTATAGCCATACAGCACCAGCAAGTCTTTGAGGAGTGCTCTCACTTGGATTTCTGCCTGTGGCCTTGCCTTTGTGTCGCTTCAGCCTGAAATGACCAGTGAGAAAAAGGAATAAACTTGTTCTTCAGCTATGTCAATGCTGCAAGTGCTATCCCAGAGCTTCCAAGGTACATAATTAAGTGTGTGTGTGTTTTATGGTTTTTATAGGGTGTGTCTGCAGCTGGACAAATTGTGTCGCTAAAGGTCTGGCTAATAGATGACATCTTAGAAAAGATCAATAACCATCTTCCTTCTCACATCAGAATCCTGGGTAAGCATACTGGAATGGGCAGAGAAAATGTTACTTGTAAGTGGTTTAGTTTTAACATGAATCCGTATCTTTCTGTTAGTTTGAAACTAGGGTCCTATAAAATAAATCTTTCCATCTTTTGATTGCATTTTATTTTAAAATGTTCTTGCTGGTATGAGTTGAGATCACAATCAGGTTGTAACCTACTGGTTCAAAAACCTTATGTCACTTTTAAAACCAGGTCTGAAGAGAGTCACGGGGGGATTCAACTCCAAGAACAAATGTGATGCCAGAACCTACTCTTACATGCTGCCAACGTTTGCGTTTGCCCATAAAGACCATGATGTGCAAGAAGAGGCGTATCGACTGGACAAAGAGACCCTCGAAAAAGTCAATAAACTGCTTGCGTGCTATAAAGGAACACACAACTTCCACAACTTCACATCTCAGAAGGGACCCAAGGACCCCAGTGCCAAGCGGTACATAATGGAGATGTACTGTGGAGAGCCGTTTGTGAGGGACAACGTAGAATTTGCAGTGATCAAAGTGAAAGGTCAGAGTTTCATGATGCACCAGATAAGGAAGATGATTGGGCTGGTGATAGCTATTGTGAAAGGTTATGCTGCCGAGTCCATCATGGAGCGCAGCTGGGGAGAGGAGAAAGTAGACGTCCCCAAAGCTCCAGGACTTGGGCTGGTCTTGGAAAGAGTACACTTTGAAAAATACAACAGACGTTTTGGAAATGATGGGCTGCATGAGCCGCTGGAGTGGACAGAGGAGGAGGAGAAGATTGCTGTTTTCAAAGAGCAGTATATCTATCCTACCATTATCAACACAGAAAGGGAAGAGAAATCCATGGTGAACTGGCTAAACACCCTCTCCATTCACGACTTTGACTCTTCTGTTGCTGGGATGCAAGCTAACCACAAAAATTCCAAGGTAATAATTGAAGCCATTATTTTACCAAATGGAAGCTGTCAAGTTGAAGTGGCTCTTCCCTTAGTAGCAATTTTGTCTTTCATGAATATGCCATGGAAGATGACAGTCATCTGGAGTATGAAATGTTTGTTATCTATTCTGTCTTTGTGCACTTTATGATAGTGGAATCAGCTATACACTGTGTTATTTTTGCACGGTTTTGCATGGGTCAGTTGAGGGCGGGCAAAAGGATGCTGTAAAGCACAGGCCAATTCGCAGAACTGTAAATTTGCAACAAAAATTGTGGACATGTTACCAGCCTTTGCTGCTGTGAAGCTGTTTGAGAGACTCGTTTTCAGGTTGACAATTTCCCTTTAAATGCCTGGTGGCTCTTTATATTTGCTGATTTTGGGCTAATTCTTGATTGGCCAAGTCCCTGATCAGAAGAAAGAAGCAGCAGCAAGCCCTGCTTGAGTAAGGCATTGGATTTGATGACCTAAAGATACCTGACAGTTCTGTATGTAATTCAAATTTTCCTGGTCACAGGGCTGGCAAATCCTTGAAGGATGAATGATGGGCAGGGCTAAGACTTCTGCCTAGTGCATGTCAGAAGTAAATAATGACCTTTTTTAACTTAATGTAGTCTTTAAAATTAGCTTTATTTTGTGTAGATAATGATTCTGCTCTGAAGAATGTTAGGTTTAATCTTGTCTCTGCTTTTTTTTTGAGCATGAGAGTTTCAACATACAAAAATAAAATTTACAGCCTTGCTGCATAGTACAAGCAAGATACCAGAAATTTCTCAGGGTTATTTCTGTACTTGTGGTAATTGTTTTTCTGAAAGGTAGTGCTGTATGGGGACATTTGTGGCAGCAGGTTATGACAAATGCCACATTAGTTTGGTTAAATGGGGCCCACAGAGACCACGTGGTGCAGAGCCCCTACCTAGCTCAGGGGTGTTGATGGTGATGTTGAGAGGACTTGCTGCTGACAGGTTCACAGTCACTGATGTATTGCTAGCAGGAGGCAGGTCTGCTTGCTTCAGATAAACTCGACCAGACGCAGTTTTGGCATCATACCTAGCACAAGCTGTCTGGAGAAGGGTAAAGAGGAGATGATACGACAGGCTCCTTTGTGATTTTTGGAGGCTGTTTGTACTTCAATGAGCTGTGCTTGCTGTTAACGAAGGCAACTGTCTGAGTCTCTCAGAATTGGTTTTGTAGTGGGATTCTAAACTGTCAGTGTTCAAGTCATGGGATTTGGGGCTTTATATGTTTTCAGCAAGTGATAGTGAGGGAAAAAAGAGTAACTACAGGCATATTGTCATGTTAACCTTTCTTTATAAAAGCCTTTCATGCCAGTCATATCAGTCAAAATACGTGCTTCAAAATATTATGTAAATCCCCCAAATTTATCACGCTGTACTGACTTACTCCTGAAGGAGTGGCTGCCGGTTAAGAACTCAGACTTCAGTTTCCTTGCAAGTTGCTAACACTTGTAGTGTTTCCCTAATACTACCTTGTACAACTGGCTTATTTATAAATGAGTATGAGTGAGCTCTTGCATATCTCTAATACAGTTTGGACTTGAACTCTTCACAGCAGACAAACAAAATTCTCAAGTATAGTTTTAGATTATGTACAACCTTAGCTTTTGAGGCACTTGCATGAATAAAAGTACTTGTCAGCTTGTCTCACCTGCATTTATTTTAAACATCAGCATTTCGTGCTATTGTCTCACAAGTTTCCCACATCCTGCAGGTTGTAATAATGCAGTTGTAAATATAAATGAGAAGAAATTTCTTCTGCTCATGAGTGTAATCCAATGTACTTTTTTTTTTCTACTGTGTCATTTACCATCTCAGAAGTTGGTTACAATAGATGGGTCTAAGACATGAAGTTGGGATCTAGCCCCATTTTCTTACACGTCTGGAGAAGTTTAAAGTCGGTGTCTTTGATTTAGGTCAGTCTCTAGATGTAAATGAAACGCTGACAAACCATTTTCTCTTTTACTTTACAGAACAGCAGCGATCCTGAAGGCAGTGATGGTTGTGATGATGATTCCGACTGAGCCATAAGTGGCTGGACCTGGGACCCCTACTGCTTGCTGTTCCCTTGTCTACAAAACAGTGGCCTTTCTAAATCCAAGAATCCAGTAAAGCAGGGCTTTGTGTGCTTGCAGAACAGGAACCGGATGCCCAGGAGAAACTGGGTGGGGAAAGCAGTGCAGTAGAAAGAGGCTTTTTATACCACTGACTGATATACTTGAAAATAGCGTAAAGAAAAAGCAGCTTTCTATAAGAATCTTGTAATGCAGGATATCTTAATTGCTATTTGAATAATGTTTTTATTATGTGTTTACCTGGAAAATAGTATTTTAAATATGTACAATCCCTACATAAAGATGGGGCAAATCATTTTAATATACTTCTTTTGATTATTATTATGAAGTTATATGTCTATGAACTTTTCATTTTTTTTATTTTCTTCACCTTTACCTAACCTGATCGCTAAACACCATTAAGCTTTTATTTCCCATGTCATCTGTGACTTTCCTGTGGAATAACATGTGTGGCTTAGGAACTCATCATCATGTGAATTCTTTTGGTATTGAAACAATTTCTGAGTTTTCTAAGGCTTTCCAAGCCTAAAAGAAATTACTCTGTTTCAAGGCGATGCCTGTTCTCCCAGCATTGCCTGTGTGCTTGGGCAGGCTCAAGAGCATAGATGTGCAGCTGCTGTGTGACTGGGCCTTTACTGCCTGAGGTGCTATTTCGCGCACTGTAGCTGAGACTAAGGAGGTGTGAATTAATTGTTAGGACTGTGATTCAGCCATGAATGGTCTAGCGTTGTCTGTGATGGGTCACTAAATGCGTTGCTGCTGGTTTACTATCTCTGTTTTTAGTGGAAACTATCCAGCCATCTGCTAGATCCCGAGTTGAATCAGCTCGGTGTGTGTGAAAGGAATGGTGCTGACTTCCTCTGGGCTTTAATCAAGTTTGCCTTCACTCTGTGTGTGTGAGCTCCTAATTCCCCATCAAGCTGCTGAGAACTGAGGAAGGTGTGCAATGACACAGGAAGCACACGTCTGAGGACTCTTCTTTTGGGAATCGATTTTCATTTTGTGTGTTCTGGGGCTTTGCATACTGTGGAGTTCTTGCTCTCCTTTTCCCAGCTGTGGTTCCACCTCTGATTCTTGTTTCCACGTCTCTGGAGATGGTGGAAGAAAAAGCAAGTACAGGCAGCAGCCTTCCTGCCCTCCATGCTGGAGAGCACTTTTGGAAGGGGTGGAACAAGACTCTCCAAGCATTTGGGTATTAGTACGAGTGCTTGATACGTTTCCCCTAGCTGGGTCTGTACAGAGACTTGCTTTGTAGCATGGTAGTTATTGAGATTGCCCCTCCATTCAGGGGTTTCTGGCCAAAGCCTTTAATTTTATGGTTCCTTCTGGTATTTTTGTTTTGTTTTGTTCCCCACGCACAGCTGGGCCTTAAAAAAGATTTGCTTGTTTATTCTGTCTGGGTTTTAATTAGTGCTTTTTATTTTTTCGTGAAGGCCTTGCTCTATTTTATCAGAGTAAGTGTGTAGAAATGTTTTGGAGAGGGACACTACCTAGACTTTCATTTATATCCCTTGCTGGTTCACACTGTTGATCTAATCTGCATTAATATTCTATCCAAAACTCTATCTATCCCTTTCAATCTGAGAAAAGCACCTGTATTTGCTTATAAAAAAGGTCCCCAAACTGACATGCCTCAGTTAAAATCAGCAAGAATTTGTATTTACAGCCTTTGAAGAAAACAAAACAACAATAAAAAAGGATGTTTTGGTATGTGTGCAGTTTTATTTTGTGGGGATTATTAACTTTGTATTTCAGTTCTGGTTTCATTGTAGGAGCTGAATGAAAAAAATAATAGTAAAAGACCACACAGAGGTGGCCTAAATTCTGAACCTCGCTCTTTAAAAGGGCATTATGCTAAGCTGTATTATGGGAAAGAAAATAACAGGGGCCAGGCTGGGTGCTGTGTAGGCCCAGAAGGCTGCTGTGGGGGCAGAGGCCTGCAGGAGACCTGAGCCCCACAGCCCCCGCCAGGTCCGTGCACTTGGATCTCCCTGCTGCAGCTCTGAGCTTTGCGAGTCGCCGCAAAAAGCTGTAAAAGCTGTATTCTAAGGTAAGCTGAAGGGTGTATTTTAAGGTAAACTGGGATTTGCTGCAGTCTGAATTAGACTTGAGGCTGCGGTTCAGGAGGAGCCAGCACAGCGCGCCTGGCGCATGCGCCGATCGTCTCCGCTCACCCCCTGCCCTGGGTGGGAGCAGCGGGTGGGGGCAATGGTGTCGCTC